GGAGGTCCACTCTGACCTGTTGCCAAATACTTCTGAGTTTGTTTCTTGAGAAATTGATTTCACTGGGCCAAAGCTCCCAAAGTAGGTGAATGCCCCTACCTCTATACAATAACCCATAGAAACGCCTTTTCTTCCTTCTGCAGAATCCAGAAGTTCTGAAGCCCTGAATTCAACTGAAGTGTCCCAAAAATTGGGGTGTGGTTACACAAAGCTCACCATCCCAACTCTTGCACATGGTACACTGAATTATTTATACTCATTAGGATGAATTGTAATGCTTAGGTTCTGTTTGCGCTAAAACTCTTATCTGCTCAGAAGACAGAAATCAAAGACAATTGTGTTGTTGCCATAGAAGTCAAGGAATAGCCTACAATTGAGGGGGAAAAGGGTTTTAATACACTGAGACCCCCACCCTCAGTACTTCCAACAGTGGGAGTTAAGTACAACTGTGAGTTTGACAAGGAGTTATAACAGTTAGCGCAGGATTTAAATAAATTTGTTGTTTGAAAGAGAGTAAGATCCAGGGCAGATGTACATGTGTAGGAAAGGGGTAGGTGTTGACCTGGAGGGAAAATTGCTCAAGGCTCATTGCCAAGGTCACAACATGTATTAGTCTGCTTGGGCTGCCATAACAAAATACCATAGCCTGGGTGGCTTAAACAACAAAAATTTACTTCTCACAATTTTAGAGACTGGAAATCCAAGATCAAGGTGCTTGCAGAAGAACACCTTCTTGCTGTGTCCTTACATTGTATAGACAGAGCATTAGTGTCTCTTCCTCTTCTTATAAGTTTGCTAATCCTATCATGAAGGCCCCACCCATGTAACCTTACCTAACCCATATCGTCTCCTAGAGGTCCCATCTCCAAATATCATCACATCAGGAGTTAGGGCCTCAATGTATAAATTTGGGGGGGGGGAGACACAATTCAGTACATAGCACAACCCATTTCCCAAGCCACAGTGGGATGGGTCAATGTGAGTTAGGATCTAAGAAGAGGTAATATATATATATACATCTAGAATAATGGAGTCAATCAACCCTGTGTTTTTCATGCATCAGAGTTAAAGAATTATCATCAAAAACACTCAACCTTTTCTTCACACCTTAAACTAGAGATATATGTAAAGAATAGCTCTAGAATGTCCCCCTCTTCTGTAACTTTTAGCCATTGAGTCATTCACCCCCACAAAAAGCTGGAGTATTAGAAGTCTATGTAGTGTCGGCCACATGTATAAATAAAAAGAACATTGATACTGTCTTGGATAGTACTTTCCTGTCATAGCTTCATTGTGAGAAGTAGCTTTGTAAGAAACTGAACCCTGATGAGAAAGTCCACAAACTCACATAAAGTGGCTACACATTCTTTCAATAGGACTTCTGAATGGACTGCTCAATTATCACAGCCAGGCCAGTAATCCCAGCTCAAGTCAGTCTTTAGATGGACAACTCTACTGGGTGTCAGTCATAGTGAGAAGTTGCCATTATTCCCCAGTGCAGGAAACCAAGGAAAGTGAGGAACTCAATATGATATGACGAGGAAATGGAAGTTGGGGGCATCAATAACTTTCCCCCTTTCTTAAAGATCACTGTAACTGTGCTGCCTAAAATCTTGTGTTTTAAAAGTGAGTGCTGGGCTTTCCTGGTGGTGCAGTGGTTGAGAGTCCACCTGCTGATGCAGGGGACACAGGTTCGTGCCCCAGTCCAGGAAGATCCCACATGCCACGCAGCGGCTGGGTCCATGAGCCATGGCCGCTGAGCCTGTGCGTCCAGAGCCTGTGCTCCTCAACGGGAGAGGCCACAACAGTGAGAGGCCCGTGTACCACAAAA